AATTTTAAATTGTAAAGAAGTTAAAACGCGATGTACAAGAAAACCCTAACCTGATCTAGTAAATATAATAAATAGTTTGTACGAATTTTACACGATCGTACAGTCGTGGTCACTATGCTCGCTCAAGAATATAAAATACAACCAGTTCCCGTGTCGCTTCGGACCATTCGTCCTACGACATGATGGGAACCGGAGGAACCGTAAAGCATGCGACTCACCGATCGTTGACTTGCATCACTGCGATCGTTTTACTGTCAAGGCATCTGTGACGTCTGGGAGGCATTGCATCTTAGAGGTTGATTGACTGCATCATTGATTGGTTGCTTGGCTGCATCATTGGTTAGTTGCTTTCATCAGATTTGGATGTGGAAGTGGCGGGTTGTCCAGGTTGTAGCGTGCCCTTCTGTAATCATAAATAAATCACAACGATTAATTAACTGTATTTATCGATTTGCATTTTGATTAACATATATAATTTTTTGATATATTTTCTACTTGTGCAAACATTTAATAAGCGTTTGTGGTATACAAATACATAGAGGCATGCATGGAGAACTAGGTACATTACAGAATTCGGTTATAAATTTGCAAACGTTCGTCAATATCTGTCACAACGTGAAATCTTGTATAATATTTGAAAGTTTCGAAATACTTGGGTAATTGTTTTAGAGAGCATGTTAGAACGTTTGCAAAAATATAACGGAAGCATTCAAACAATCACTACATAAAGTACATCAAAACATCAGTAACAGTTTGTAAAATCATTTAAATAATAACTACATAAAGTACACCAAAACACCAGTCATAGTTTGTAAAAGCATTCAGATAATCACTACATAAAGTACACCAAAAAACCAGTAACAGTTTGTCAAAATATTTAAATAATCACGAGACAAAGTACATCAAACACCAATAATAATTTGTAAAAACATTTAAATAATCATGACACAAAGTACACCAAAACACCAGTAATAATTTGTAAAAATATTCAAATAACCACACCACAAAATACACTAATAAATTCGTAGACACATGAGAAACCACACCATAAATCGTGTTAATATATTCATATGTGCATGCACAATCACGTGTAGTAACCCACTATTAAACACTGTGACACATGAGGAACCACACCATAAATCGTATTAAAATATCCATATACACATGCATAACCACTTGTAGTAACCCACTATTAAACACCATGACACATGATAAACCACAACATAAATCGTATTAAAATATCCATATACACATGCACTATCACTTGTAGTAATCCATTATTAAACACCATGGCACACGATACACCACACCATAAATCGTATTATTACACCCCCATATGTATGCACAAATATTTAATAAAACACACTAAACACTTGCACTAGTGCACTAGGTAACACTAAGATGAGCACACAATCCGATATTTAAATCGTTGACTCGTACCGGTATATAACGAAAGGGTTGATCCGACCTCCTTTGCAGCTGCGAGTAAACTGATTATCAACGACCTTCTTCAAGTGCAAACCGAGGGATTAACGACAACAGGTAGTCCGCGGTGCCCAGCCAGCTGTGTCGACACGCACCGCTGGCGACTACCTGCATCGATGCGAACTTCTATCTCTTGCCTAATAATTTTTAATATCATATTTATTTATTTATTTAATAAATTATTATTGCAACTATTAAAATTTATTATTTTCTATAATTTTTTCGTACATGATATTTGTTAATTATTATATTGAAATTTATTTTCTTATAATTTTTTATTTTTCAATTAACTATTTATCGAATTATTATGTTTTTAAAAATGTATTATTTTTTTCATTTTCACGCGTGTATATCTTGCAAAATATTTACTGATTATTGTATAATTTTTAATTTGCGATTATTTAACTATTCAGTTATTGTTATATTATTTTTTATTCATTTTTATAAATAAATTATTATAATTTTTTTTTTTACTTCTACGCTTTGACGTGGTTTTTCGGAAATTGTTATATTTACTTTTTGAAGTATGAATAAATTTTAAGCTCTTTCGAGAAGTATATTGAATTGATTTAAATTAACATTTTTATTGAAAGCATTCCCATCACTTTTTTCAGTTCACATAAATTTTGCTATTAATGTACGAGTAAGATTGCTCGGTATAAGGCGATAACGTTTTATAATAGAAATTTTTATTACTATAACTGTATCGTAAGGTAATCGATAACGGCATGATCTTAGGAAGTTATAATTGATTCTCCTTGACGAGCATAGACTTTGTTGCACTCGAATAAATAGATAGGTCAGGATGAAATATCATTTCTATAGCTGATATCACGAAATTGTACAAACATGGAATACACGTCATTAAATATTACCGTGGTATGATAGGACAGATTTAAAAAATACGAACGTAAGCTTAAATACGTGAAACTTTTTATAAGAAGTATAGTTTTCATATTAAGAACGTGAGAAGAATTCTACTCTTATTTATTCATAGCTTTTCCATTTCATCTTCGAAATAAATTCTTTGACATAAATCTCGTGATACTTTTACACGAAAGTTGATCAAATGTATTAATTAGGTATTTCTTTAATATGAAGTATGAAATCTAATATGAAGATCGTCAATTATAATAAATAACTTATTTAGAAATAGAGTGATAAAGAATAAGTAAGTTGTTCAAAGTTATGTTGGCATTAATCCAGATGCAGGAGTGTTTCCACCAATTCTGGAACGGTTCGCTTTACAACTGAGAGTCACGCTACTGAAAGTAAGTTCGCAGTGATAAAAGATGTATTCGACAAAGATAAAAATCTGGGCAAATCCGAAACAGACTAATTACATTTCGTCATGATTGTCCCAAAACTTTTCTCGAGTAGCCTGATCCGATTATACCGGTATTTTTAAAAATACTTAATTGCTTCAGTTTCGGTAAAGTAATACATCGACTCATCGTTAGTGTTTAAAGTTATCAAAAGCGAGAGGAACTGAAATAATTACTGTGCATATATTTTGTACCGTTCAAAATGGCAGATTTATTTCCTTTTAAAAAAAAAGATTGTCAAATATCTTACAAAGGTTTACAAAGACCTCCATCGACGTGTCTTTCCTGACATTGCACCCTAAGTCACCATTAATCATGGGGGTATTAACAGATGGTAAAAAGTAGAGTCCAACGAATGGTTCCGCGTTATATATTTTCCATCGATCCTCTTAGCAAGAAAACTCTGATGAAGAGTTTTTATTACTCTCCTTTGGCTTCCCTGCTTTGTATCCAGTCTGTTCTCGAAGATGTTCTGCGCGTTTTAAACACCCATAGGCAATTAAAAAGTATCCTTGATATCAAGTTTCAATAAATAAAAAACGCATATTGTTTATTATTTATTTGATACACAATAGATTCACGCACACGTTTTACAAATGCACACAGGATTAACATTGTTTTGATACAGAAGGCTATCGTAGATAAATCGGTACGTGATTGCGCAAATGTCAATACATAAAAATCCCGGAGTTTGCGAGAACGATGAATATTCAGTGGTAAAATAGTTCAAATCGTTTCGAATGCAATAGAAGGGTATTAGGTTGAATATACATAGTTGCATAGCGTGAGCTCGTACTATGTTTATACGATTTAACTGTTTTACTTAAATTAAAAACATTTGTACATATCTGTGAATCCCTTTCTGACCCTTAATCTTAGAATTCCACGATCTTGTTCCTATTCCAGCTAGAAAACTAATTCCAACATGCAGTTCTTCGAATTTCCATAAAATCGCTTCACAGTTCAATTGACTTGCAAAGTATCTTACGTACCTTGCGTTTCGCTTCATTCCACATTTCTAAAACACATTTCAGAACTACCTGGATCGATTCTAGGAAACATGTAACATCCAGGCTTTCGCGGAGCTCCAGCAGGAATTTTGGGATACGTAAATATCTTTTGCCGGGGGTGGTTTAGAAGCTCGTTTCACTCATAAGGGAAGCAGTATTTTATGAAGGTTTACAGCACACGATGAAATTCATTACGCACACATTCTTCTGCTAAAACATGTAACCACACATTTATCGAACCCTTATTTACAAGTAAATATCGATCAAATAAGTGTCTCGTTCGAAACGCTTTCACCCTCAAACATTAGACGCTTCAGTCCATTTCTCGTATAAATGATAGACGAAGATTTCTTCAATTCTCCCGTACAACTTTCCTCGATACTCTCGGTGGTCTTTTTGTTGTTCGATGGATTTGCGATGAATTTCCTTTCGCTGTTTCCATCAGTCTTTAGTCAAACCGCCGTGTGCAAATTGTTCTTCAGCAGCTTCGACTCCACGTGTCTGTGTTCGATAGAAAAATTAAAAATGTAACAATAACTGCTGTTGAATAAAGATCATTAAATTTTGGTTACGGTAGTTCATTATTCTAAGGAACTTTTTAGTGACGAATATTTGAGCTTACCTCATAGGAGACACCTGAGACTCGATTCTGGTTCCAGTGGCTGAAACCATGCTTGAATGTCTCATGCTACTAATAGCGGACCTGCTGATGTGCTTTCTGGAAGAGTAGCAACACGTCTCCTTAAAAGCATCTCGATATTTAGCACTGATCAGATTATATAGAATTGGGTTTATGGTTGCACTGAAGTAATACAGGCAACCAGTGAGTGGATATAACCATCGGTCTATATCTGGTGTACCGATATTGTATGCAGTCATTATTCGTTGAACGTGAAACGGAGCCCAGCAGATGAAAAACGTTACTACCACAGCACCTGTAAATTAAAAATTGTACAGATTAATTTTTGGAGATTATCTCATACTTGTGGTAAACGTGCTCGATTACAATCTAGGAGGAACAAGTGTGGTGACATTGAATTGAAAATTTCGATGTTTGTACGATAAAGTAAACAAGGTGGTACACGATTGAAATAAGATTGAAATTGTAAAAATACAAACGGGTTGTTTGGTTAAGACATTTACTGAGAATTCGTATGGTCTTCCGAAGCTGAGCGTGCTTATTTTCCCCGTGAACAAATCCTCCAACGTTTAGGACGAAGCTCTCGGTTTGTATTCGCAGACATATTCGTGTGTAAAACACTGCGATGAATGCCATCGGTAAGAGGAAGAAGCAGAAACAGCTGAGCCCGTACAGAGGAAAATTAGGTATATCATTAGTTTTCATCACGCAGATCGCGGACTCGCTCGAGTATCGGTTCGATTCTGAAAAGAAACATAAACTGCATTTGCACAGTCTTAAGAGAATGTTTATATCAACTCAGACTATGTTTGATGCCATAACTAATAACTATTTAATAAAATAAAATAAATACAAATCTAAAATCACACGAGTGAATAGAAGTGACAGGAAGGGTAAAGCACTTTTGAAACACGACACGTACATCGAACACATTGGAAAACGATTTCCACGCTCGTTTCGTGTTCGCCGCTCTCGTGTTTTCAATTGTATGTGATTACAGTTCATGCGACTAGTGTATATATTTATTGCGTCATTGGTTCGATGTGGGTACAGTAAATTTTCAATCGAAACGAGAACTATTTAGATCGATATTCCCGATTTCGAAAGGATCGTAAATGAATACGAGTCTGCAATTTATTTCTTCCAATACCTTCAAGATATCGGTTTTCGAATTAAAAAATATATCGTCGGAGAACGTGGAAATTCGGAACGAAGTAGAAACTCACTTGGTGGATATTCAACGAAATCGAGATTGATGTAAACAGCGATCGGTAGAGCTGAAAAGGAGGCTATCATCCACGCAACCAAGATAAATCGCATGGATCGTTTCAGATCTTCGCTGTTTTGGCGAAATGGATGGCAGATTGCCATATATCTTTCTATCGCGAAGCCCACGATAGTTAGCACTGACACGTAAGAGCAGCTTCAACAAAGAAAAATGATATTCGTAAAGTGTCCTTCTTTCAAACTGTTCTCTTGACGAATTGCATCGACTCACATTTCGGAGACGTACGCTCGTAATTTGCACATAACCAATCCCCATTTCCATGGGTATTGTTCCCAATACTCGCCCAGTTCGTGTGGTAAGCCTGAAAAAGAGAATTGAAAGAATCTTTTATTGGTAATCGATATAAAAGACATTATGGTCGAATCGTACTCAATGAAAAGGATTTACGAGTGCATTTTACCCTCTGCTTTATGATCCTTTTACCGTCGGGTATTCAGAGGGTTGCTAATTAAATTGAAATGTTTTGTACGAGACGCCTGAGGGAACAATGTAAAACAAGGACGAATGAAAGCAAAGAAATTAGAACGAAACGCGTTGAAATCTTTGCCAAAGCGAAGACGCGAGTTTCGAGTGTCATTAATTCAAAGTCGTGGCACGGAACATGGCACTTTCTTAATCTAATTACACCAATAAGTCGCATCCTTCGAGTCGTTGACTTGGCCAGTAAATTTCGCGTGGCCCCATTTATTGCGAAATATGTCAACCATTATCTTCACCCCGAATGCGGTTTAATTAATGCAACGTTTAGGTGTAGCGCAATAACGTTCGAAACTCGTGCAACAAGAAGATCGTTAAGAAGTCGATCGATTCTTTATCAATATTTTACAGCGTTGTACTCGGAGAAAAACAAACATATTGATAGCATAATATACGGTATTTTCTGTTCGGAACCGAAGGATTCTTTCCTCCACCCGAAAGAAAAATAGAACCCTGATCGAACAGAGTTCCGCAACAGCTATTCGGTGATACATATTGTATAAAATCGAGATCGTCGTAGATAAGAGTCGTGTAATGGAAAAGTGATATACGACGATAGGACATAAATAATGGGAAATTTGCTTCGCGCCTCGCGATCACGTGTAATATATTGTACGCAGCATTAAGTATGGGAAACAACAAATATACCGTGCAATATATACATCGTCCAGAAAATGGTAGGAATTTGTGAACAGAAAGCGAGCAACGAAACAGCGAATAAATTCACTGGATAATGGAAAAGCGTGCATATCGGCTGTGCACCGTTTACAATTCAGCTTCAAGCTTTTACGTATCTTACATTTCAATGTGAGATACGTTTCATTCATGCATCGCAAGAATTTCATACTGTACGCGATGTATACTGTACCATATCAATCTACACGTGATCTTGACGTTAACTTATGTACTGTATTTATGTACTATATCGTATAATCATATTAATTACTCCAAATGGATGTTACATAGTTTATTAGATTTTTATTAGACACTATTAAAATTTTGTTTCGAAACGCGGTTTGTCATTCGCTGTTCTTAGAAGCTATCTGTTTTGTACAAATGTTGATGTATAGTTATTTTCCTCGAAGCTTGAAATATATCAGAAGAGGTACGCGTTACATTTACGTCATGAAATCAGTGTCAGACTTTCTGTGCCTTGAAATCGTCTATTTACTCCACGACAACTTAACATCTAGATAAGGCACTCATAAAACAATAACGACGAGATAAACGTCGTTTCCGTTGAATTTACTTAGTTGTTCAATTTCCTCGGCAATCGATCTATTTATAAATAATCGAGACATCTGTGACTTGCAAGAGAACGCAAGAGCCTGTTCCAAGCAGCTGATTAAATAATGCAAATGCAGACCCAAAGGAGAATGTAAATAGCGTTCAATAATTTCATGCGGAAGCATTCTCCTTCGCAATAAATATTTCCCTTCCCACTCTTTCTATTAAACTCTATTTAAGCATGGTCGGCTCGATTCACTTCGAACGGGGCCAAAAGCGCTCTTCGTTAACCGAGTAAAAAATAAGAGAAAACAGGGAAATGAGTCCGGGACAAAAGGGCGGAATCAGTGGATATAAATTAACTGAGGCCACTTGCGGATGCAAATAAATCCATTCAACGGGATCACATCCGCACTGTGGATACAAATAAGATCGTAACGAATTACGATATCCTTTCGTTCAATTCGGATGAAGGTCGAATAAGCCATTAGACGACAATTAATGTTCGGTACGTGATGATACTGCAGATATTGTGATTGATAATGCTGCATAAAATTTAGTATTGAATGAACTTATCAGTTCGTTTGTATCGTATAAAAATAAAGGCAATTGTAAACCAAAGAATTCAACGATGGATGATGAACTGAGTGATTAAATCTTCTTTTGAAAATCAACACGTTTGCAGACATGCATGTTATAAGCTTTTATTGATATCTACATGTTGGACCATTTCAACGTGCGTTATTGTCATACATTGTACCCCACGCGTTGTATCGTCACACATTGCAACGACAAAAATAATGTAGCAAAATTTGATTACTGTACTTGACATATCGGTTGACAGGAATATGAACTTACCTAAAATCAAGAACATCAAGTCGGACACCGCCAAATTGAACAGATAACAATTTATAGAATTATGCATAGAAGAGTTCTTGACAATGACGATACATGTGGCCACATTGCCGATGACACCGGTTACAAAGATAATCATGTACACTAGAGTGACAGGTACGATCAGTTTCCAAGACAGATACTTAGGACCACGCACCGATGACACGTACTCGGATTCACTTAAAATCGTGCAGTCACTGTTGTTTACGAGAAGCATGCAATCGTCCGATATATTCATTGTTCGAATCCCGGTGTTCATGCAAAGGTTAATCACTTTTTGTACTTCACACAACAAGTGTCTGTTCTCACTTCGAAAATAAAATACTATAAGAATTCCTAATAACAGATGATATTATGCATCGTCGTCGAGTATGCAAAGAGAATTTGATATTAAAACGTAGGAAAGTTGGAGATTGGAAAAGTTAAGAAAGTTAGAAAAATTAACCAGGAAAATTCATATTAGAACATTGTTTAATTGTTGAAAGACGAAGATTCACGAAGCACCAAAGATTCACGAATCCACCTTATGTCTCATCACCAATTTTGCAAAAGTCATTAACGTATCTCTCGAAACGTTCCATCTCGAGAAACTTGCTTTTCTTTCCCTCTGTCTTCGTCCGACAAAAACTTCATTTTTCATCGACGAATAATTCAATCTCGTGTCGAAATTAATGGAATGTAAAATTATCGGTGGAAGTATCACAGCGGTAGAAAGGGTTGTAAAAGTGCACTGGTTCGCGGCCCGTGGACAAGTGATGTCTCTCGAGTGGGTCTGCTATTCACCTTCGCGCCACGCGCCCATCCACTACGCATCCAACCCTCGACTTTAACCCCCGTCGTAATTCGACCAATAAAATCGGTTAGTAAATCGTTCTAGAATTGCTTATTTTAACGCGATTATTCGTAGAATTTACATGCGTTTAGAAATTCAGATACAGTATCTTCGATTAAGAAAGGTGATTAAGTTTCAGAAACTTTCTTGATACAGATTAATAATTCCAGTGCAAAATGCACAGGTGTGTCATTGATTGCATTAAAGAGATAACGTAAGACAATCACCGTACGTTTTCGTTCTTAAACGCAATATGTAACGATCCTGGAACCTATCCCAGCTAATCTTCTGAACGTATTTGCATCTGGAGCCAAGTAAAATTAAACGAGATTTTAACATCGTGGCAAATTGAACTTTCCAAGACGGTAAATCGCGGCATACCTAAATCCTTGGTACTAAGGATTGGATTCCTCCGAGAGCTTCATTTCACATATTTTATCTCGTACGTTGAAAATTCAACGACTCGTTATAAAATTATTTTAATATCGATTGGTTCTTTCATACTCAAGTTTATCGAGCTACGTGGAAATTAATATAAACGCTCTTAAACCGTGAATCTTTATTGTCAAAGTGCTTGGTGGTAAAATCTAATGTCGCTCGATGTTATTAAAAGGAAAATTCTATTAATGTACGTAATACCGTTTTATGCTTCAGAATCATATTAAAGCCTTGTCCTTCCAAGCCCTCTTAAAACATGGTCATAATTTCATCACAGCATCGGAAATTTCTTTTCTAAACTATTGCCCATGTAATTCGAGGTAGAACAGTTTTGAAACAAATACAAAACTTTCCATTCCCGCCTGCGGAAGTTCCATCTTGCGAAGTAATCATTTGCAAATCTGGTCCCGTCTACGACTTCGAGCATTCTAACTATGATTTGCATTCATTTGCATACTATCCTCATTATAAAAGAATCCCTGCAACGAATACTGGGGAGAAGTAGAACGATCTTCCGCACCGTTTCCGTCTTCGTGACCATTCACGAGCGTTTTCGAAATTTCGTCGAACGCATTGCTAAGCAAGAAATGTATTACGTATTTTCTCGGTTGATGGGTCAAGGCTTGCTGTAACACGTGTTTCATGTTTTCAGGACGATGACGCAGAGCGATCTGGATCGCTTGTTGCGGCAAATGTAGTTGGTAAAAACGACAAAGCGCCAGATGATCCTCTTCCGGTCTTATAGGAAACTCCTCGAGCGGACCGTAGGAATCCAGGATTAAAATCAACGTGCCAAGAAGAAAAATATAGCATGAGAACTGAAAAATATTCGAACATACTCGTTTATGTGTAGATTCATATGCGGTTAGATGTCCAAACTTTTCTTTGGTTTTATAAAAAGTTTCTTGTTTCGGATCAAGTATAAAGAAACAATTTTTCATAAAATTATAAGAAAGTTTGGAAATTTTTGTCGTGTAATAAATATTCATATTGGGTGAACAATTGATGATACATTTTAATATTAAAATTCTACAAATGCTCGCGAAAACTATATTGCTACGGTATGATGAATGAACGTGGACAAAAACGGAAACATAGAAGGGAATTTTTCTTTCTTTTTCATTTCTTTTTATACATATACACCTCCAGTTTTACCTTTGGCGTCTTCTCACAGTGTACCGACATAATAATATTACGTTTCCTCGTTTTTGTCCTTATTCAGGAAACTTTTAAATGACAAGCATAGGACTAACAAACGTTGCGTCTGAAAAAGGAAAGAGGAAAATCAATAGAAACGCGTATGCTAGAACTCGAATCGAACTGATAGTATCATCGTCACGGTATCAGAATAGAAACAATATTACCCATTGTAACGATTTTTCACCGCTTAATTGTACGAGTATCGGTCGGAGAACACACTGGTATATCGCAGTGAAACACTCGATTACGACGAATACAATCTGTTTCCTGACACAATTTAAATACTTTAAAAAAATATACATAGTTCTCTATCGTTCCTGACATCTTTTATCGATGGTGGAGTAAAGGAATAGGAAGGGTTGATTTAGGTTACACTTTTCATTTTGTCAACTCGAACTCGAAACAACGCAGAATCGTTGAATACATTATGTGGTCCCCAAATAAGGGGATTTGAAACTTTATTTATTTAAATGAGATGAAACCAATTTCAAATAAAATTATGAACAGCTGCGATTTATTGACGCGTTAAAAGTCGCATTTTAATTGCACTGTATTTATTGAGTTTCCTTCGAAACAGAACTTTGATCAAAGAAGTATACATAGAACAGAGATTGAAAAAGTGCGACAAAACAATTCGTATTACTTATATAAATCTTTAAACTAAATTTTTATTAAATATGTAGCCTTCATAATTGAGTACAAATCGACTTAAAAGAGTATATAATACACAGGTTCCGTCAGAAAATAAATAATTCGTGCCGAAATAATACGGCTGGTAAATTCACCAATTATTTACAATAATCTCTCGTAACGTTTGAACAACCGCTAAACTTTTCTGTGCATACATCACAAAGCGCTGGTAGTCGTAGACATGGATTTCTCTGTTTCGGTATGAAACGCGGTGCTTGAATTGCTATTTTGTTCCTGTACAACGGAATGTATTCGATCGAGAAGTGGTTTAGACGTCGGGTCTTCCTTTCTTAACGCGCAAGATTTACGAGAGACGTTATCATTCATATTCCCATCTTTGTCCATGTTTTCTCGACTGGCGGTGAATCGAAACATTTCTTTCGCCTGGCTGATAGTGTACCTGGAAGCAGAAATTACGTCGTTGATACACGATGAAATTTATATGATATTAACTTTGTATCATTTCAACGCTGATACCTAATTTTATTGAAACTCGAATTGCGTATCTTTCCGTTAGAATTGTTACGGCAGTTCTCAGAGTTCGCGGTCCGGCTTTTTCTCTTCGTTTTGCAGCAAATCGTTTGTTTGAACGCGTGCCGGTACTTCATGCTCATTAAATTGTACACAATGGGGTTCACGGTTGTGCTGAAGTAGTAGAGGCACCCGCTTAAAATATACAACCACTCGTTCAGATCCGGATAGTAGTCAGACTCCTGGGCGTAAACATATAACAGTCGTTGGGCGTGAAACGGAGCCCAACACACGAAGAATAAAATTACTACAGCACCTGTAACAACATATTATAATAATTTGCACGATTTCTTCATAAAATTATCGCGAAGTTCATTGGGAGACCTAAGTGTCCCTAGAGCTGATATTCCCTGGGTCTTCAAATAAATTGTACCAAAATTAGCTTAGCTTTTCAATTACTAACAAGAGCAATGTGTAATTGGTATACTCCAGAAGAATTTAAATGATGGTGATGCGAAAGGATGACTTACTCAGCATTCTGATGACGGATTTCCTGGACTGAACCTGTTTGGCATCTCCATGAATCGCGCCGTGTGTGACCGAGTTCAAGGTTTCCTTCGCGCTGTTTCTAATCATTAGACCCATTCTCGTGTACACGACGAGGATAATAAGCATCGGCACCAGGAAGAACACGATGGTACTTAACTCGTACAGGGGGAAGTCGGGCATGTACGGCAGAAGCATCGCGCAAATCGCCGAATCGGCTGAATAGTTTCCGGAACCTGAATAATAAATATTCTTAATAATAACATTCTTGTGTTATTTGAAAAAGATAGAAGGAACAGTTTGAACCTGGTGGGTACTCGACTAAGTTCACTTTCGTATAAATTGCGAACGGTATCGCTGAGACCAATGCGATCGACCATGCAGCTAAAATGAAACGTATCGGTCTTTTGAGACCGCTTATCGTGTAAACCTGTAGCGGGTGACAAATGGCCAAATATCTTTCCATGGAAAAGGCCACTATCGTAAGGACCGATACGTAAGACGACCTGGCAGAAAAGTAACATCACGTATTTTTATCTTGGTTTAATTAGTTAAAATATACTAGAACCCTAGTCGAAGTATAAATTTCAGTTTGACCATTTAGTCACATGTAAATACTAATTTAATTATTGCGGTAATTATCGATTCTGAAATGCTACGTTTGATCCCCAAATTTACACGTCGAAACTATATAATTTAAACTTCGACTTGGAAACTTCTACGTTGCTTACATTTCCGACACGTATGCTCTGATTTTGCAAAGACCGACTCCTAACGCCCATGGATATTGCTGCCAGAAAAGGCTCAATTCGTTGGGCAATCCTGAAAGTAATCGGAGAAAAAACTGATAACGATCGACAAGTTGCACAATTATGATTACGTGAGGTAAAGCTTGTATTTTTATTGTTATGTATTCGGTTATATCTATGACGGTCGTGCAATTGACGTCAGATATCAAGGCAGAAGCACACGAGCATCTCCTTGATACGCGGACTAATTTTTCCCGAAAATAGATTTACGACTGATTTAACCTGAAAAAGTAATTAACAGACGTCAGGATATTTTTGTGATATTTATTTAAATAAATTCAATGTTAAATTCATAGATACCAAGCGTTTGAATTAGCGAGGAAATTTATTAGTTCAACAAACGCAATCATCGAACTGGAATTTATTTTCTATTAATTCCAGCTACGCTGGGACGAGATAAATACTCGTCTGATAATTGAATCGTTTGATGCAATATGATTGAATTGAATTTCCGCGAAGACCATGGATTTTGTAAAATTGGAACTATCCTCAAAGCCCTACATTTTCGGATTTTTATATCTCTAGGACCCTATACTCCCAGATTCCAATATTAGATGCCTGTATTACTGTATCCTTATGTATTTCTACTACCCCTAATTCTGTGCGAAAAGAAGACCAATTAGAAGTCTGTACAAATTTTTCTTAATTTACAACAATCGATACACGGTATCTCTGCACCTTATATCTAAGATCGATTCTTTCAGTAAGTTCGTCGCGAAAAGTGTAACTGATAACGGTTTGACGTCAATTTTCGCTCCGAAGGCACGTTCACGTGTTTCTAACATTTACTCGGATGTAAAAAAGACATTTCCAAGTATAATTGTAAATTTTGATCCTTCTGTTCAACAAAGTAATCAGAATATGTGCAGTTTTTATCAGGAGTTTATTGATACATTTACGGATTCCGAGAAGCCACTTATGTAAGGACAGCGTGCGATTCACTAGCTCGAGTTTACTCATACTTAGGAATATTAAAATTCCGACGCACATATATGAATGTTACATAAACAATCTTATCTGTGGCTAATTCTATTTTAATCCCAAATTTTGACTGTTTGAGCGAGATACACAATAATTTACGTAAATAATGAAACATTCTAGTTCACAGTTCGACGTTACTCGGAATCTAAATGTACTCTTGCAGATTATGCACCGTGTTTATCTTTTATAATCCCTTAATTTATCCGAGAATTCCGTGCTCGCAATTTTTATCCTGGAATAAAGAATGGTGTTACGAATCGGTAAACAAAACCACCGAATAGATAAGGATCGTTACTGTACACACGAGACGGAGATTAATTTAAAATCTTTATCTTTCTGGTTTCCATATAAGAAAGTAGAAATTCAAACTATTAGTTTTTTTATTGAATTTTAAAACGGAATACGGATGAACTCCAAAAGGGTGCAATCGGATCACATAATTTATGTTTTCAACATATCATCCCTTTAATCTAGATTTCAATTAAAATGTCGCAACCTGTTAATTAACCGCTGAACACAGATTTTGGGGTAGCAGAAATTTGTTCATCGATTTCCTTGTTTTCTATTGAAAGCACATCGACGCCCATTTTGTAATCGCTATTTTGTTTCTTATTTTATATAGAGTGCGATGATCATGATGATGATGATGACTGTATGAAAATGGTAGCCTAAACAGCCCGCTATTTTACACAAATGCGAATCTCAACTCACCCAGTACGAGTAGAGTAAGGTCAGATATAGCCAGACTGAACAAGTAGTAGTTGGTGGCCGTTTGCATGGAAGGATTCCTAACGATGACAGTGCACGTGGCAACGTTTCCAAAGATACCAGTAACAAAAATCACCACGTACGTGATGGTGAGCGGTATCACCATCTTCAGAGGAAGATACTTAGGCCCTAGTACTTTGGTCAAGTACTCAGCCTCCGTGAGATTTTTCAAATCCCAGTCCTTCCAAAAATCGTGCACATCGTCCGTGTCGTCCATGATGATCGTTGAATACAAAAAGTCTTTGTCACGTTAAACCAGTTCTTTTTGTCGAAGGAATAGCTCGTCTAACGTCGAGCATTTAACAAAGGATACACGCGAAACGAATGTTTGCACGTGCTACAGTTCAGGAACGATTCAAAACCGACGGTAGTCTATTTTAAGAGTTTGTATACTCCGTGGAAATAATTATCGCGAGTAAACAAGACATTCTACGAGTTGACAACTCGATAAACCGATGTCGAGTCAACACGCGATCCGTTAATGGGTCACAGTGGACCGAAGATGAAACCTCGGTCGAAACTTCGCCAATTCCAAAATTACATAAATTCTTCGTTTTTAGGATCGACCTCATCTGAAGATGTTCGCAAGTTCTCTTAGCTCAATCTGCCATTTCAGGGAAAATTGGATTTGCAACGCGTTCGCGAAACCGTTAACACTCTCGGGCGTAATTCCGCGTCTCTGATCAAAGTTCCACCACGATTCCACATTTCTTTCCTCTCCGATACGAATCATCTCGACATCTTGTGTCTTTTCGCGAAATGCCTATTTGTTTTTTCCTTTTACGTTTTTTCAGACGCCCAACAAATGGAACGCGTCAACCGGTTATCTGATTAATGAACGAAAACACTCGCGCAAAATATCACGATTTTTAGCGATAACACGTCTCACTTCCACTCGCTCTGTTTTTATGATTTTTGATAGAAACCTTAAGAGGTAAAACCTGAAGCAATTTATTGTAAAAGGAACGAATACCACAATGACTGGAAATGAAACTGTCTCTACGTTGATCGCATAGATCATCAAGATCACAAAATCAAAATAAAGTTTCCTAAGGGGAAGACGACAAATCTCCGGGTCGTTGTTGTCAGTGGCAGACTATCGCACGGTATGACTGAACACAATACTCTTAATGATATCGCCGCGCACCTGTCCTCGATAACCTCATCTCCCGGTTTCGCCGATAAGACGGGGAATCGTTCTAACATGCCATTCAATTGTATTAATGTCTCGAGTGCAGTCGATTATAACGCTTGTGGTTTTCTTGACAGACAGCGTTTCGAGTTCAGTTCGCAAATACGGTATAATATTGAGAGCTCGATATGGAAGATACGCTTGGTTGGAATAAATCCATCGAAAATATTTCCAATGTTTTATTAGACGTAAGACAAAGTCCGAAAATATAGCATTAAATAAAATATACACTTCTTAAATAATCCTTAATATGATCAAGAATTTGTTTCTTGCCTAACTACATGTACACGCTAACATTCGCTGGTTTAATGTTATTTACATTTAATTCCTCCGCTAATTTTTTTATGATTTCAAACGAAAAAGTACATTTTAAGTAATAAAGTAAAAAAGTGTCTACGTAAATCGAGGGATTTGCAACAACATATTTGCCATTGTACTTAATGAACGGGGTAATTTATAAAGATTCCAAAGACATTAACAACGGGTTTTAAGTACCATACTTCATGAATTTAAGAAGTACAATTAATCGACACAAGGCGGGGGGACGCGTACTGCAAAAATCATGCTAACCGATAAGATTAATCAGAAACAATGCAACAATAATTGTCGCGATAACACTCAAGTTCTTCAAACAGAAACATTTTTCTTTCGTTACGGAGAAACGAAATATTTAACTTTAATGCATTAATCAGTATGTACTAATCTGTAAATCAAAATATATAAACTCGTCAAGAAGTAAGAAGCTCCAGCAATTAGTCATAAAAGTCAGTACACATCCAGTCAAATTTTATCTTGCCGTAACATCTTTGGAATCTCAAACGTTATTAAAATGTGAATCATAGCAACGAAATTAAAATGAATCATCGATGAAACGAAAGTCTATTCTCCTTCCACTTTCCGTGTTTGCATTAATTTACATTAACTTAGACAAATACTTTTATTTCATATAATAAAATATAACAAAAATTTTAACTAGAATCGGATTCATCGGAACTCGTGTCACTATTATTTATCCTATTCAAATTGTGTTGTATTCTATTAGTATTTACAAAAATATCGTCTGATTCTTCCTCAGCATCCTCTTTGGCGTTTGCACTTTCATCGAATTCACGGGGCCAGCAATTCTGCTTACGATACCATTTTTTATGTTCCTAACGAACAGAAGAAAACGTAAGTTAGAAGAAGTAGATAATATACTCAACAGAAGAACGTACTTGCGTTAGTATTTTAACAATTTCCGCCTTCACTTTATCTCCTTCCGGTATCGGTTCCACCAACACGAAATCTCCTCGTTTCACCCAAATGTTTCTTCTAAATTTCGTTGGCATAGATACAAGATATTGATCTCCAGTAGCATTTTCAACTTCGTGCAGATTATTACCCCGCGATTCAATTATTCGCACAATTGATTGTGATTCGGTAGGAACGCTCAAGTCCTCGACTTCTTTAACGACGTGCTTACGTTTCGTCGCTTTTGACATCTTTTATCTGTAAATTGAAACTTAACAGCAAAAAAGAAAATAGTACAAAACGTATTTCTGTCAAAAACGAAACAAATCTTCGGCACTTCTTTTATTAACTATACTTTTAATTAAAAATAAACCTTCTGATCACTTCAAAAATTGACACATTACAAATAAAGTTTCGAAAAGTGGACAAGTATCATAGGCTTCCTTTGGCTAAAGACCGATGTAGGAGAAGGATTCTTCGACTTTTAAAAAGCTATTCCCAAATTTACAAACCAAAACCCAGTGATGAAACGTTTTCCTACATCGGCATTTTTCCCGTGGAAGTTTACCATGTTCAAAACGTACACATTCACACTTGAAAAAGGGACGTTTAAAAAATACCGGACATCATTAGAAATAGGTTCTGATTAATATCTAGTCCCAATCGTCCCAGAGGTTTAAAAATGGTTGCCTCTTGATTCTAATACTTTGATTAACTCTTCTGTTTGTGCACGATTTTCCACTGCTCTTGTTTAATCAATGGTCGTATACGTCCTTTCGACTTCTCTATAGCGGTCCAAACGTCGAGACTTTCTCCAACAGGAATCTCGTATCCGTTTTTCAAACCGTGTGGATTCGACGGTGTTTTACAATCGTTTTCAGATTCTTTCCGCAATACAGTGTCTACTTCTACGGAAGAAAAGAAGGCAACCGACATGGGAAGATCTTTCATGCCAACTCTTGAAGCGCAGAACGACCGTGTCAGGAGATTAGTTACGTGCATGGCAAGAGCGGCGTTGTATTTGTAACGGGACTGCACTAGGTACCGCACCTCGTCGTGAAACGATAGGCAAAATCTGACATTATCCTTCATCAACCATTTCATCGAAACCAACATCAGATGCAGAAAATCAACCGCTCCGCTTTGGACTACCCAGTTCACTTTGGTCGGCAAATATTTGTCATTGTTAGGTTGGCCCTCCAATGCACGTGTCAACCGGGAATTCAAGAACGGTGTGGCAGGACAAGGACTATTGGCGATTTCTTCCAGTCTGTTGAACATAGCTGACTCCGAACCACCTTCCCAGTTATATTTCTCAAACATTTCCTGTACAGTTTTACCATGCAACTTGGCTATTTTAGTTGCTTCGTAGGACGTGTACTGTTTGTCCTCGAGTTCGTTAACGAAATGCGGTTTCAATTGATAGGTTTTCTTCCCTTTAGTCATAGTAAACATTTTTCGAGATTTGGATGCAGCTTCTGCATCTGTCATGCGAGGATTGAATTGTTTCAGAAGTCTTTCCGCAAACTTTTGACCGGCACCGTAGATTCTGGCATAGTTGATGATTTTGGCCTGGCTCCTGGATATTCCTACAGCTTTAGCGGTGACACTGTGCATGTCCGTTTTGTTGGATTTGGTGCCCATTAGGGTCATCCAGCCGAAAGGCGTAGCTCCATGAATTTTCTTGTAATGAGCATCTCCTATCAACGACGAAATCCACAATTCTTGACTGTCCACGTCGGCTCCGACGATGTTGTATCCGGGCGGAGCTTGAATCATGGCTCGTAACTCGGAACCAACCCGTTCCTCGTCAGAATTGGAAGCAGTCATCCACGTAGGTTCCACCGCTCGCCTGGTTAACGTTCCGCAAACAACTACCACTGGTAAAATTGCACCATAATTTATTAGTTTTTTCGTGTTCTTAATAGTATTTGGTAAATAATGATTTTCAAACCATATTGTAAACTGTGACATAATTCTCTGCCTGTTATTTCTCCAATAAGAAGCCATTTTAGAGTTCTTTAATATCTCTGCAGCACTTTCGTCCAATCCAGCAAGCACGTTTTCGGAGAACTTGTTCAGAAAATCTTTAGCTAAAGGATTACCAACGTTACAATTGGTACCGTCTTTATGTGGCAATTTCAGAAAGTAACAACAATCGTCTATATTCACGTCGCACCAAATTGCATTACCTTTATAAATATTATCCAGTTGAACCCGAGGCTTCTTCTTTTTGTTACGCCAAAACTCAGTTTTGTGCAAATCATTTTCGACGTCTTTGTCGAGGTTTAACATTGCATATTCGGTTCCGTTGGATGAGCTTTCTATTATTGGCAAAGGACACTGAGTTAATAGTTCCTTTAAAGGCACTTTGGTTTTAATACTTAAATCATTGTTATATGGCACTAAGATACCCCAACCCTTTTCTTTAATATAATGCAAAGGATAATGTTCCCATGTCAAATTCAAGAGTTTTGGGGCAATTTGCATAGATGTACTTATATTCTGAGGACCTGGCAACCAATCTTCATCCACCATTTTAGGGCAAAGTTTTCTGTACCATGCTGGATACCCTGGCATGTGTGGTAATTTTTTAGGTAAAAATCTTCTTGTTTCTTTCAAATAGGCAAATTCTTTCTCCAAAGGATCTTCTTCTTCTTCATTTTCATCCTTTGATGAATTTAGAGATTTCTCTTTCTTTTCTTCAGAGTTCTGTGCTTTACATTTTTCTCTTATATTCACTTTTGAGTACTGTTTTTTTAGTTTTAGCTCTTGTGTGCTCCAATCTTCATTCCACATCCATAAATCTTCTTTATATTTTTCATTATGCATAAGTTCACAAACAGCATTAGCTCTTTTTGCAAGAATGACCTTGGTTTCATAATTCAGATCTTCAAACACAGATTCTGACTCATTTAAATATCTTTGCCAATTTGAATTTATAGGCAAGTATGCTGTACTAAGCTCTAACATTCCTGCCAATGTAACAGGATGTGGAAATCTGTTCATGAAAAGTGGAAATAAATGAGACAATATATTGTAAGTTGCAATTACGTCTTTTGCACAATAAGTCATCAAAGAATTAAAATCTTCTTTAATATCTTTCAAGGTTCCATCTACAAATACATCTCTAGAACCTTTGTCTATTGTATGACCACAATAAAATTTGTGGACATCTGCTAAACTATTTAATGAAGTTTGTACGAGCAAATCAGATTTTTCTTCTGTATCACTTTTAGAATTTATAATTGATCTTTGGTAACTATTAATCCCACCTACAGATATATGCAGAGACATTGTATCTATAAATCTTAATCCCGTATTTTTCAACCAATATTGTTCTTTAATCTTACTTCTATCAAATGATACATTGTGACCTATTACAAGCTTTGGTTTTTTATGGTAAGAACTTAATCTTTCTCCATGTTCTTCACTTGTACTTTCCATTGGAATTAGATCATCCATAGTAAACTGTTTATCTTCAAAATTTCTAGTTGAACCATCCATTAAAGATTTAGACACCCAACCATACCATGCTTTAGTAGTTACTGCAGTTGCAAGTGTTGGTAAAGGTCCTTCCTTCATACATACCTCTACATCAAAGATAATACCATCTTCCAATGGAAAATCTACAAATTCTACGCCATCAGAAGTATATCTGGTCCATCCTTCACGCAATATCCATTGCTTTGGCATTTCAGGAATATTTCCCATGAATATCTGCTTTATAATATCTACGTATGGCTTAATTTGTGCATTCCCAATATTATAAAAGTGATCCTCTATATTGTCTCCCTCCAAAGGAGGTAATTTGATATCTACCTCCGGTAATCTGGTTGCATCTTCTACCTTTATTCCATATAAGCTTAAATTATGTTTTATAGCTTTTATTTCTTCCTCTGATATTTCTTCTTGTTTAAAGCATTGCTTAAATATTTGCTGATGCAATGATTTTGGAAGCATTTGTAGATTAATTTCATTAATCCTAGAATCACCCTCAGTTTTTACTTTCACATTGTTACTCTCTGCTTTTATATTTTTATGTTTTGCAGAAATATCCATTTGTTCCTGATAATTATACTTCATCTTGTACCATGAAGTGTCATAGAAGCTTTGTTCAAAATTTTTAGGTATACCAGATAAATCATTTTGTTCTGTACAAGTTTGCCTCTTATGAGACACATAATTTAAAACTGAATTTGAAATTTTAGCGTAACTTTCTTGGTTGAAATTATTTCCTTGATTTTCATTCCATTTATCACTGTTTTTTGGTAAGGTTAGACCGGCATCAATTCGTTTAGTGTGAATGATTCTTGTTTGAAACTGTTTAAACTCGTTGTTTTTTGTATTACGATTTATAATAGGACAATTATGTCCATTAGAAATATTAATTAAATAACGTCGCATTATTAATTTACTTGTTACTAACTGTTTCTACTTCTTCATAACATTCCTCGACACGTGACTTTAGCTACAAGCACATTTAAGAATTTAACATGAATAAGTAGTATTCAATAAAGTCTTACCTATTATTTATAAATTTCAATCAGAAATGTAATACAAAATTTGGTCTAATCACTATATTTAACAAAATTCAGTTTGATATCTTAATTTTAAACTTTTATATCGCCATACTGCTTGTGAGGGCGCATTTTTTAAAGTTGCGTACGTAAATATTTGCTGCGGCAATAAAAGAATTCGTGCAGCAAATACAAATTTTTTAATATTTAATGTTAACATTTAAGAATTGTCATCCTGTATTTTGTAAAACAATATTTATAAAACATCAAATAATCGAATTGTATAAATATAATGTCAATAAAAGTTGCTTGTTTTATTATTTTTACATACAAATTACAAAACTGAGCTAATATTTTGAATGAAATATTTAATTTTACATCTAACTAAAACAAATAGCAGATATATTTTTATTAAACGCAGTATAGTGATCACGACGACATCTTCGTAGCGTCTACCAATTTGTTGTGTTCATCATGGCTTCGACGGGTTAGTAAGGATTTTATATTTATATTATGTAATTATTAAGTAAAATATCTTGATAAAAATATCCGAAATGTTGCTAATCCATTTTAACTTTATAATAACAGTTTTATAATTGATATACATGTAAAAACAATAGAAGTTTAGTATAGTTTCTTACTTGCCAATTTTGACATTTTCAATCTTATTTTATGCGCGAACATCTGTGAATTGAATTAAATATTAATAATGACGGAATTTTTTATTCGTTTAGAATCCTTGGTATGTGACACACTCGATCTTAGTGGTCAGAATCTGAAGAAGCTTGCCCGTTGTCCGTCAGATGCAAGTATCAATACATTGATCTTAGACGATAATGAACTTCAACGTCTTGATAATCTTGATTCTTATCACAGGATTACTAAGGTATTGATGTAATAAAGTTTATAATTGTTTCTTTCACACACTTTTACAGCATTCCATTAATGTTATATTTATTACTTTACATTTCTTCCATACATGTATGAACACATGTTAATGTAGTAAATAAATAGTTACTTAAGAAAACATAAATAAACAATTTCAGCTCTCCATAGTAAGAAATCAATTGTTACGTATGTATGGAGTATCGAAGTTACATAATCTTGTAACACTTAATTTAGCAAATAATGGTATTTTGACTATAGAGGGTATAAAGAATATGGTAAATTTGCAAACATTATGTTTAGCTGGTAACAACATAAAGGTATGATATACATTGTTTCTTATGTGAATATAACTAAACCAATAAATTTTTGTAATTTTGTATTTTGTAGTCTATCGAACATTTACACACAAACACTAAATTAGAGCATTTGGATTTGTCTGAAAATAGTATTAGTCATGTTTCAGACATTTCATATCTACAAAACTTGAAGGTAATACCTATAATTTAATTTCTTGTTTTTCCAAAGTAGTGCACATTAATGAATTACTTCAATTTTGCTGTGAATCATAATAATATTAACCATTGTTCTAGGAACTTTTTTTACATAACAATCGTATAATAACTTTACGACAGTGCGAACGCTACTTACCCACATCTTTAGAAACATTTACATTAGCTAACAATAATATTACTGATTTAAATGAAATGTCGCATTTAGCTAATTTAAAAAATTTAGTTAATTTTTCAATTGCTAATAATCCGTGCGTTAGTGTGGCAGGTAACAGTATGTATCCTTTTGATTATGATTCTATAATTTTTGTTCATATCTTCATTTAGACTTTAGAAAAAAGCTAGCAACATTATATGAAAATATATTTTTTTATGATATAGAAAAGTCATTGTCAATAATGAGTCATTGTTACTGTTAATGTCATCACATATCCTTAGAGTTGATTTTTATCAACAAAATATGCTTTTAGAAAGCTAGTTATAAAAACGATGTTAGTACTAACTGCAGAATTACAGCTATAGCTTCTTAACATATAGCTTATAGTGGTTTTGATTATCGACCTTTTGTTATCAATTGGTGTATGAGCTTGAAATCAATTGATGGCTATCCTGTTGATCCTCTTGAAAGGTGGGTTTTTTTTTGACAATATTATAGTTATTTCTTATATGTAATATAAGATTATATTAGTTTAAAGAATCAAAATTCATTTAAAATAATGTCCACTCAGCTTAAAGGCAGAGTGGCTATATTCTCAGGGACGAGGTAGACAATTTCGTGTTGGTGAACATGCTCTGCTTGCACAGTATTTAGCATCTGTGTGCCCTCTTTCTGGTGAATCCCTAGAAAATGAAACTGACAGGAAGCTTAGGCTGATTTTAAGTAAAGCACAGCATCATCAACAACAATTAAATCAACAAAGTGATACTGGAAGTGTGCACAGCTTAAGTAGCGTCGGAATGAGTCCTTCTCCAGCCGCTAGGCGTAGACTTAGTCATAACAGGACAAGTTCTCCTAGACGTACCAGTGAGTTTAAATAATCCTTCACCATTTGTCATTACTGCAAGTATGATAAACAGTGACATCGAATCTTCCTCTTGCAATTAAAAAAAGTGGACTAGTAGTGATGTACACTTTCCAGTCGTCATGCATCTTATGTCTTAGTTATAATGTGTTTTCTCTAGTTGCGCCAATGTTGACATACTATGAAGATAAATGCTTACAATCGCCAAAATTTTATGAAGCAAAGTACTGCGTGTGCCATACACCTTGTAAAGGTATCCAAAGTCAGAATGAGAATTTATCATACACGGCTATAACTGCATAATAGACATGTGTAAAAATCTAAGCCCAATTTCGTTTGTATTCTGAAAGAATTTAAAAGCAAAAATTATTTTCGTAATCGTAGTAGATATCGATATTAAGTATTATACAATTTTACCTTGGATTAATGCACATGTTTATATCCTCTTGTGCCTAGTATGTAGTACGTTTTTAAGTAATTGCGTTTTTTAAGCTTATAGCGCAAAATGACTTTGGAGAATGAAAACAAGCAGTGTTATAACGACGCTGATTAGAAGATTTGGTTAGCGTATTAGCATTTGACGATTTGGAAATATATTTCACATAGTTCACGATTCTTATATTGTTTTCTAGTCTTTGATCACATATCATTTGCATGCTTATGCTAGTAAGGCTAATCCTAAAAAATATAAGTATAATGCAATACACAATGATGCATGAAATCAATTACAAATATATAAAATATTTGACATTTATTTAGGTACAACAAGAAATTCATTAAGAATAAGATCACCAGATAGGATGATATCTAGTTGTCATACTGATGCTATGGTTTCTTCATGCCACACCTTGTTAAATGAAGATCATGAGTCATTAATGACCCAAAGTTTAGATCCAAATATGCTTAGTGGCACTTTAGGCAATAAAGTATTAAATCCTGCTATTCCACATGATGTAGAAGGTAAATTATAAACGTAATTAATTTCATTTGTAAGAAATCCATAAAAACTTATTTTATAGAAACGTCTAGTCCTCTTCAAGCTGCAACAAAATTAGTACCAGTTCCAGAATCTTTAATGAGTCCAGATTTTCGTCCACCTTCTGGTCTGTCAAGAGTCCTAGCAAAAACTCCGCCAAGCAAATTAACGTCACCTTGCCAAGTTACTGTACCTGGTAAATCCACTGTTGATGGAGATGCCAAAGTTATTCCAATAATAAACACAGTAAATCCTATGGCAAAAACGAATCTTAGTGCTGTAAAAGCAAATGCGCTCGTAAAAAGTAATTCTGCGACAAACTGCAGTATTGGAAAACCAAATATTGCTAAACCTATTATCACAAGTAGTACTAATAAATGTCCCCATAGTGTCAAAATTAATAATTATGTTCAAAGCAAGACGTTACCTGCAAAACGAGCTTCAAAGAATTCACCAAATTTAGGCAGAAACATACAAAGGCCAAAAAGTGCAAATGACAGAATTAAAAACAGTATGCTTAAAAAAAGCGGAGACGGAGATGCAGGTAACGCTACTCAGAGCAGTGATGAAGATAGCGAAATGTGTCAAGCAAAATTAGACGGTATTCGACATAGAGCTATTCAAAGAAGACAAGAAGATAGTAACAAAGGTAAGAATTTATTTAAACAGATAAAATTAATTTCTTAAACGCAACATTATTCTTAAAATAGATCAAGATGAAGCTGAAAAAGCAGCAATATGCATTCAAAGAATGTGGAGAGGATATCACACTAGAAACCTTAATAAAAAAGCAACGAATATACTGAAGACTATTGAGATGATAAGGACAAATAAATATATCCAGTATGATATCTATTTCATTATAATATAAAAGTAATATATTTTTTACCTGTTCTATGTTTCAATATTTATTCTTTTAGAAAACTATCTACTGACATGGAAGCTACTAGAACTGCTTTAGAAAGCGAACATAAACTACAACTATTACAAATGCAAGCAATTAATGCATTATGGAAAAAAGTAGTTAGTCTTCAACCTACTGCTAATCGAGATTCTACAGGCAGTGATAATGAAAACATTGCACAAAACGTAGATGTTGTAACTAATTTAGCACAGACATGTAATTTGTTGCATACTCAGGTAAAATATCATTTATGTTTTTGTAACCTAACAACCTTAATATACTGAGTAGTCCTTAAGAAACTGATACGCGTTTAGGTGCAACAATTACAAGATTCTATGTCAGAAATAAAACGATGCATGTCAAGTATGCAGTCAAAACCAAATCTTATTGATAATGGTGTCGCGACTCAAACAGAGATATCCGCTGTTCATACCCCAGCAGGTGAAGAAAACACATTTCCATATGCACGACCGCATAGACCGCAGACTTTACCAATTCATCAAACTATTCATGAAGGAAATGAAAATAAAAGTTTTGCATCTAATTTGATTGACTGTGTGCTAAAAAAAGTTTCTCAGTCTACAGATACGACAGACGATGAAGTTAATACTGACATCTTAAATTCAAATGAAAATCCAGAATTACTGAATTCAAATGAACATGCTGATATGTTCAAAAGTTGCGAAGAAATAGAACCTGATTTCAAGGATGTAGTAGAACAAGATGCAAAAAATCAGTATGACATAATCGATAATGCTGCTTTGAACGGTGAAGTTTGTGAGGAAACATTATGTAAGGAATTGCACAATTTAATTGAAACAGAAATTACAGCAGAAAATTGTACAGATCTTAAAAAAGAAGATAGTGGGGAGGAAATTGAAAGTGAACAGCATTAATTTGAGAAAAAATTTATAGAAACGATATTAAAAATAAAAATGAAGGTTTAAAGTTAGAGGAACTGAAACAACGGAAAACGAATATAAATTTTAGTGAATGATGCTGGATTTACGAGTAAAATTGATACATTTGTAACTAAAAATATTTTCTGTACATAAATTCAGACGGTAGCCTTAACTGTACTAATATAATAAAATTTAGTGCTTTTAGTCGCATGTTTCTTATAATTCACGATCAAAAAATCAGATACTTCCATTAGAATTCGAGAACATGTCACGTTATATAGTAAAGAAAATCAAGTGTCGGTAATATTACTTTAACAAATCATGCCGTAACATTGTTTCAATTATGGAACTTGAAGCAAAGGCGTGTATTGCATTCAAAAATTTGTCCGTCCACATATCTGGCTTCTGAAAATTGATCGATGTATGAAATGTGTTCTAGTAATATTATACACGATAAAACGCTTTGCTCTTTCTTTGAAAGATTAGAAGACAAAGATTACTGTACAAGTAAATTGTACAATTGGCACCATGATTCTCAATACTCGTAAATTCTCAGAATGAAGTAATTTATAAAAACCAGAAAACTGCAATACGTACATGCATTCCCTCGTAATTATTTAACTTTTATTAAAAAGCTTACCAAACAATATTTCGTAGATAATTATTGATTTTACGTATTTATTTTTGTATTTATTAAATAGTATATGTATATGTCAGTGAAGGCTGACATTGACCCAAAGGTAGTTAATGACAATTTTTAATCTAGTCACAGCTTATGCTTCTACACTAATTATTGTAGATATTAATTGAAACTTGTTATATAAATATACAATGTTACTAAAAGATAATTACACTCGAAACCTTCGAACGAAAATAGGTAACTGTTGAAAATTACGTATTTTCAATGATAACAAAAAATTGCAATTAGTGACTTTTCTACGTATATGTCTACTTTTTAAGTTCTATTATTAAAAATATTTATTTGACATAAATTGTTGCCGTTAGAATACTAATAGAGTGAAAAAACTGAATGTATGAGCCTTTATTAAAATAATATTTATTTTGTGTGATACGCGTTTATCGTGATATGTCGTATAAGATATTTTAACGCTCAGCATTGTTAAGACCTTGATATAAGTGTTTAATAAATGACACAGTAAATAGTTGTTTATAACAGCATTTAATTTTATGTAATTGACTTCTGTATGTACTGTTTATCTTAGTACATTAATATTTTGTATTAGAATACACAATTCTAAATATGATAAAAAATAATTAAATATGACAAAATTTGTAACAGAAAAATTTATTACATAGAATGAGTATTTAATGTGATATAAGCATGCTTCATGTGTTCCTTTTAACTTTTAATAAAACAAGATTTTACGTTTAATAGCATTTTCGCACATGATTCCAATATTGAATGTTATATTTTAATTTATTTTTATACACCTAATACGGAAATTATTACCAAAAAATACAACTACACTTAAATAGAACTGCACAATATTAAAATAAATATGAACAAAAGCAATAATTAAATTTGCATTTAAATTCGATGTTGTTTTTTATTTTTCATGTAAGAAATACTTTCATGTAATTTTGGTAATATTTCCAAATATTTACAAGTTACTCATTATGTTATAGGATGTAAATAATTTACAGTTTTTGTTAAATATAATTACTACTTTGTGTAAAAATGATTTTACTTATATTGATTTTAATTAAAAAAATATGTATATAAAATTTTATTATATTTACAAACATTACTATAAAATATTTTATTTTTACTTAAACATTCTTTGACAAGAAGCTCTTTCAATAGCTAAATATTTTTTCATTACTGTTTTTACCTTGTCCATTTCTTGTAAAATATCCTTGTTATTAGGAGATTCCAACAATGCTTGCTTTAAATCTGCTAAGCCCAAATCATATTCATTTAAACCCATATATGCTTGACTTCTACGAAATAATGCTTTACTATTGTTCTTGTTTAATTGTAAAACCTAAATATTAAAATAATGATAAATAATAGTTCGATTTTTTATTACAATGCACAAAAGTAAAATTTTACCTCTGTACATAATTTTAAAACATCACGGTAGTTTTTTTCTTTCAATTTAACAGCAGCAAGATTAAGCAAAATTGCCACTTTAGTATTCATTATTAGTGTATCAGAATGATCTGGCACATCCACCGTCTTCATCATCCACTTGTAGTACCGTAATGCTTTTTTATATTTCCTGCCTGCATCTACATAATGTTTTTTTAAAAAATAATGATTTCCCGAATCTTTTATCTTCATAATAACCCCAATTATATACTTGTACTATAAATGATTATAAATGTTCGTTAGAAAAGTAACCTCCAGAAATATATATTTCTATAAATGAATACTTACGTCAAGTCCCTTGTGATCTGTACAATAACTCCAGTCTTCAGGCCATGGAGTAAAAGTATCTTCTGTTCCATCACTCTCTTCCATTCCCCAATTTTGACCTTGTTTTAATTCACCACAGTCAATTATATGTACTTTCTATGATTAAGTTGTTTAAATAATTATTAATGTACCATATTTACAATGAAAAGAAACATTAATTTTAAATACCTCAACTGGTGTATCTTTTATTGTTTCTACTTGAGAAACTTCCAATATTACACCCATTCCTTTCAAAACTTTACCAAATACTACATTCGTGCCATCTAAATGAGTACTAGCTGAAATGGTAATAATGAACTGGGAACTGTTGCTGTTTGGATAACCTTCATTAACCATGCTCAGGAGCCCTCCTGAAGAATGAGAAAGTTTAAAATTTTCATCCTCAAATTGTGGACCATATATGCTTTCTCCACTTGTTCCATCAAAATTTATTATATCTCCACCTTGGATCATAAACTGTGGCAACACTAAATCATAAAAACATTTTTATTAAGTTATTGAATATACAATTTCCAACAAATAAAATGTTGATATTCTTTATTAAATATACCTTTATGAAATATTGATCCCTTATAATGTAATTTTTTACCATTGATTCCAATGCCCTTTTCTCCAGTACATAATGCACGAAAATTCTCTGATGTTCGAGGTACAACATCTTTAAAAAGTTCTATCACAATTCTTCCAACTGTATTACAGTATCATATAAATTATTTTTAATATTCTAATGAAAGGAAATTTAAAAGAACAGTGGTACACAACATCGTTGGTTAACAGCTGAATTATATGCTTTCATGATTGCAACTCTTGTGCATAGATTACCTTTTTCTGTTTCAATTGCTATATCCAAAAAAACAATGGGATTATTTTTTAAATTATCGGTTGACTCCTTCAACGAATCTCCCATATTTTATTTAATATATATCCATATATGAAGAAAGTTTTTTTTAAATTTTGCTTTAACCACTATGCTACACTACTTCGATAATGCTGCCATCTCACGACCATATATCATCCCAATTTACAATTTTCTTGGGTAACATTAATTTATTACAGCGTATATTTAACAATTTCTTGTCATAAAATGATATGAAAATATATTATGTAATCAATATTTCGGTAAAACATTTGTAATTTTACTCTTTAATGATAAAAAAAAGGGGGAAACAACGGTCCCACCGAGATATGAACTCGAATCGCTGGATTTAGAGACCACAATGATAACCATTACACCATGGGATCTGTTCAATTGGTCATTTGATGTTATCGAATATGCGGAACATATAATTGAAAATTTATTATATACTTCATATTATACATACATTGTACTTTATTGTTAAAACTGTTGTCATAGAATAAATGAAGATGTAAAATATTATTAATGAAGGAGTATTTGTGTCATTATGGATAAAAAATACAAGAGACAGATTAACTTTTTATATTGTTGTAATAAGTATATAACAATGACATTTTTGACAGTATAACATATAATGCGTAGAGTTTCGTAATAATATTACTATATATTTATGTGTGTATGCACATATATCGTATGTACACACACATATATATACATATCTATCTTATGTGATTAACTTATATCTTCAAATTCAATAAGAATTTTTTTTCTCTATAAATTATAGTAATATACAAACAAGCAATTCGAATAATCAGTAGACGTATCGTATATAATCAAAATTCTAAAAGCTCATCTAACACTAGAATGTATTACACAATATCGTTATTAGAACTTTCATAGTTCCGTATCTGTTTTAGGTATCTGTTTTAGTGATTATATGTTCGTTTTTTAATAAATTTCTGTATTCGCAACACCAATTGTTATAAATAATAAACTTACATATGTCACATATTATGAAGCAATTCATATTTAGACGAACAATACATGATATTTCACATTAAAGCATTGTTCACGTTATTTGAGCAATACAAATTTTATTTTATCTATGTGGTAATAACACATAAAACTGTTATGTGCAAAAATGATCTTATCTTGTTTTTTAATCTGCCACGTTCATCTCAATGATAAGCAAATTTGGCAAATAGTCTTAATAGTTTTAATAACTTCTCTTCTAATAATACAGTAGTACGTAGCCAATATAAAGTAATATTTTCACAGGGTGTAGATTATATATTATACAAATACAACCCCAAATAGAAATGCTGTTTGTTCTAAAGCCAAGTTAGATAAAGGTGCAGATTTAATAGCTTAATAAAAAAAGAGTAAACGCTCCTGAGCACTTCCAGGTAATAATCTCCACCCACGTTTAATGTTCAAATATTGAACAATTGCTCGTGCACAAATTAAAACACCTGAAATATAAACATATGTATCAATATAATTCTTTCATACCTTAACACGTTGACTATCGATTCGATATGTTGATTTTTATCGAAGTGCTAAAATTTCCACTTCCGATCGGAGCGATTAAAACATCGGCATCACGGTAAGCTTTATTTACATAAAATCGATAGTCAACGCGTTGATATAGGTAATAGAACATAGTATGCATAATAATATACAATAAAATACAAACCAAATCCCATTATCAACCACCATAGCCATGAATTTTCACGCGATGCAAGATCAGTGGAATGTTTAACAATCAGTGTCCATTTTGTCAAAGATAAGCCAAAACCAGATAATGCCCCATATCGAGATGCAATTGTGTGACAAAAGCACATCAACAATAAGAATCCGATCCAATTGAATAAAAATGCAACTGCAACAAACATATATTTTATTGTTGAGAACAGTACATAAACAAAAATAAATAAATGTAAAAACATACCCAAAAATGCTGTAAAGAACATGAAATCAGTACCAAGTAAACTACTCTCTGGATCTCCTTCTGCAGCTTCAGTATCAATAGCCATAATTGTCAAACGTTGTTGTGGTGTTCTGATATTGCCAGACTAGAAAAATATTTTTATAACATTATATTAGTTTTTCATGACAGTTATATTGTTATTAAATGTTATCATAAATATATCAAATCACCATGTGTATTTGGGGATAAGGTTCTCCCTGTAAAGTTTTTTCACGTTGGACCTCCTCATAGCTAGGTAATTTTGTAGCTACTTCATAAGGTGGAGGAGCTGAGAAATCTGCTTTTGGAGGTGGTATTTCTTCTCCATCCACCTGTAATTATAATTTTCTGTTAATACTGTAAATTTTAAAATAAATAACAAATTTATTATACCATTCGACTTTCAATTGAAGTTTGTGCTGCAGCAACATTTCCTGAATGATTAATCATATCACTTGTTGTAACTGGTACTGCTACAGTTAATGCCGATATATCATTCTGAGAAGATGGTTCTCCATTTGAATCACTATTCATTTGTGAAGGCTAAAATTCGATCATTATTATTTGTCTATGATGTATGTTGTTGACCACAAGTTTCAGTTACACAAAGAAATCTCACATTATCTGTCATTACCTAACAATATACTTTATTTCATTGATCTTTGCCATTAAAAAAATCAAAACAATATCAAAAATAAGAGATGCTTATATTATGATCAAATTTTAATATTAAATTCCCTGTAGGAAACAAATGACTATTGCTGGAGACAATGTTTTTATCGACTTGTGTATGTCGCTGGTCGTGCATAGTTTACAGTCTACCGCATAACGATTTCTCTTAAAATGTGTAAAATCTATTTACTAAATGAAAGACATTTTAGCAGTCAAAGACGCATAATGAACTGTTCAGTATTGCTTTTAAAACAACACGTATGAAAAATATGTATCATAATTGCATCGTTGTTTAGACATACCATATTGTACCGTATGTTACTATCCATTTTTGGTCAAATACGTATAAAACGTGAGTAAATTATTTTGATTTCGTGCAAACAACGAAAAATACTGTTTTTGTACGTTACGCTGCTTTGTAAGGCAGCAAAAGTTCTTACAATCGATGGCTGACAGCTGGCAGGGCTGTATCGCCGTTACCACAGATTTCTTGAAACCTTTACGTCTATCATCCTTACTTTGACAAAATGGTTAATATTTATTTCTATTTATTAATATATATCTTTTATACTGATTCAACAGTTGTACTGCCAGTTTTTGATCATGATTTGTGCATTTATTCCGAATTTATCATTACGAAATAAAAGTTGTAACGTGCACGTTGATTGGTCATTGATAAATTGATATTGAAAACCAGGCAATAGGACGGGAACGCAGCAAATCGAAATCTTTCTATTGACCGGAAGTGTTTGATTAGTAATTAACACTATTATAATGTTATTAATCATAAAAAGGTAACGTGTTTTATTAAAATAATATGTAAATATAAATTTGTAGGAAATAGTTCGTTAAGAAAAAGTACGATTGATGAGGAGATATTCATTTGAATCATGACTTTTGGAGGGGGCAATTTGGATCACGTCGTCGTGCACAAACGACGCTCTACTCGTCAGTCAGTCGCTTACCGATTGTAAGAGTGGAAGGAAGGTATTATCATGTCGGAGGTATTCAAACTAGGTGATCTAGTATGGTGTGTACTTATTCCGTGTTAATCAATGAATGTTTATAATGAAAATAGTGAAATGTATATAGCAGTGATTATTAATCGATCTGTTTATGGATTTCAGGGCGAAGATGAAAGGATTTTCGCCTTGGCCTGGCCGGGTAAGTTCGAGTTGACTACTAACGGTTCCATAACTACATTTTACTTGACCGTACGCGCCACGAAGTCAAACGCGGCCATCATATTTGGCGGGAACGCCTTGAGAACTGCTTAGGTTTTCTAACTACTCGTCATAGTATCAGAAATTAATTTATTTTACATGATGTTGATATCAGTACTAACCCCAACATATTTCCCGCCGCACCCGACCTTCGAATTCAAATTGGCGCGCAGGTTACGAAAATATAACCTAAATTATGTTGTTAGGATTTCATAACTTCATCCGTGATGTTCATAGATAACTTCCAATCATACTTGCATGTTTACATTATATGCATCCACGTAACATTTATTTATTTTTTATTTTTATTTTTTTTGTAACGATAAAAAATGAAATGTTCTCATCAACGCGATACCAATGACAAAACGAAGTTAAATATAATTCGCGCGGTAATTATAATTTTGTTTAATTGTAAATAAATTTAGTCACTTAATGTGTAAATATAAATATAGTATTTTTGTTTGTTATTTGTATTTATTTCATACACTAATGAGGGGCAAAATTTGAATGTACTACATATTCCTTGTTTCTATTTTGTGGAAGAAAATTATTTCTGGAATTATATTTAAAGTATATTGTTCATATTTATTAAAGACAACTGAAAGATCATAGTATAATGGGTTATAAAACATTTATTAAAAAATTTATATATGCATATATATTTATATAGTTTGTTTATAATTTTCATTATGTATACTAATTTGCCCATGACATCTTAAGGTGTCTAATCCTTCAAAGGAGTTAAAGAAACCAACAAATACTAAGAAGGGGCCAGTTCAATGTATTTTCTTCTTTGGAACAAATAATTAGTAAGTTTTAATAAAGTTTATTGTTTCTGATATTTTTCAGTATATTGATTCTTGAAATTGATAAAAATATTTCTTATAGCGCATGGATAGAGGAATCTAATATAAAGCCATATCTAGAATATAAAGACACTCTTGTAAAATCTAGTAAATCTGGTGCATTTAAGGATGCAGTAGAAGCAATAGAAGAATTTATTGCTAATGGAGAGGTAAGTTACATAATTCAAATATAAACAGTATTTTTTTTTATAGACAACCTTGTAAATAATAATTTTTATTATTCATTGTACGACATAGAAAATAACAGTATATATAGCAATGTTAAATGCGATATATAGTTCGATACAGTGATGCCATTTGCTTTAGGTGTTTGAGGATGGTTTAGATCCAGACTCATTATTCGACAGACTTAAAGAAGAAAGTATATCAGAGAAGAAGAACGTAGTAAAAACACCCAAGCCTCGTAAGGTTAGGTTTAATCTATATAATAAGTCCTATATAATATGTCTTTAATATATAATATGATCCAAAACTATTGATTCAGGAAACACCAAAAACTAAAAGATTAGACACTAGTGGAAGTGATGCTCGTCGTCCAGCCAAAAAACAACGCAGAGAGTCAAGTACAAGTAATAGTAATAGGATTGGAAGCATTAGTCCTGCATTGAATCACTCATCCCCTCCTAGAAAATCGGGATCAACTCTTCTCAATAGGCCAGCAAATATTGCAAGACCTGTAAGTACCTTTCATGTATTTATATGTCATAGTAAAAGATTATATACAGACAAGTATGAAAAACTTTTATTCGTAATAATTACATTATCTTATGTTTTATATAAACAAAAATCAGTTCATGTTGAAATACTAACTATGATAACTATTTCTAAACAAATATTTAATGGAGATAAGAATGTGTTCTTTTTAGGACATTTCATTCTATAACCATTTACCTATTTATGTAAATAAATAAACAGCAATAATATTACACCTCTTTTAATTCCCATCCATGATCATCAGATTAATATTCCAGCTACACTACTTTTAATTTGTTCACTGAAATAGGAAAAAATTATATTTTCTCTTTGATGCTTCACAAGTAACAAATTTTACAGTGATACATCTAGTTAAATATAATGTTTTCTGTTCACTGAGAAAGTTTGTTATTTTCACGAGAGATGGGATTTTCTAAATACATCCATTTTTGAAGTTCAAAATTTGTTGTCTAGTTTGATATGATTGATACATTATATCAAAGTTAAAATCAGTCAAACATATTTCTGCCTTCAAATGAAGTGGAATTAGCGAAGAATTCGATCGTTAATATGTTATTGCCTTATATGACAGGTAACACCACCCTTGGATGTAGAAACATTGTCACAAACTCTTAAGGAGAAAAACATCCTTCCGTCGACCTTGAAATTTGGGTTCCTTGGTTTGGGTATAATGGGAAGCGGCATCGTAAAAAACCTGATCAACAGTGGTCACAGTGTAATTGTATGGAATCGGACACAGGAGAAGGTATGTACACTTCATTTGCTTATGATGTAATACGATGATATACTATGTTTACGTGCAATTATAATACGGTAATCCTATATCGTGGAGAATAATCGTCTTTATACTTTATAAAGAAACTCGCATTAGATATTTTCTCACACAAATATAATAATTAACACTATCTTATTTTTCTATTGTTTAAATTTGAATATAACAAATTAACTACAAAGAAAAAAGGATGATTAGGAAAGTTGCTTCAATTTAAATAACGAACATATTTCGGGAACAAAATTAGCAATTCGTTTATTTAAAATAAATAGTCGCGGTACAAAATATTTTTAATAAACTGATGCAACTGTCTTCATTATCAGTTCATTACTGCAACGTCAGCAAGAACAAGAATACCGCGTTTCATGTCTTCAGCGCCGTATTAGTTCCCCTTCAATAAAAAACGATTTTTATTTATTCATATTTTATTACAAAACGATGCACGTACGCGTATTTTACAATTTCACGGAAACGATGAAAAATAATAGAGAAAGTTTCTTTCCTTTTTAAATAAACAACCGCATTTATTGATTATACTACGAATTTGGCGTTTCTCCGTTAAACGTTCTGTTCGTAATTATAATTGAAAGAAAATGTTAAGATGGTAACAGAAAGTTCAATCATTTCCGAGACAAAAAGTAACACGTCCTAGAGAAATTTGAATTACAAAACAATTCAACAATTCGCTGTCTTACATATACGTGTCACGGTGTACGCGATGTAAAAAATCAGATATGTATCGGTTGGAAAAGTTCGAATTTTCGCATCTTCCATCACAGATTCCTTGATATATAAAAAGGGAAACTAAAATAGATTTCATGATTTTTTTCATGGATTCGAAACAAAGAGGAAATTAACGTTCAAAGAATGGACGTACCATTTTCTTTTCTATAAGTTAGATAAAGGTAGGTCTAAGTTCCTTAACGTCTCGATAAAAATAAACACTTCCATAAATTTTTATTTGCGTTTGTAACGTGTCCGCTAATAGATTTAAAAAATACAGAAAAATACGAGCTACCAAAAGCATTCGAAACATCGTTCACAGATTTATCATCGTAAGAGGAACTCTTTGATTATTGAGAAAACTATTAGGTGATTCAAATATACCTAATTATAATAAAATATAGTGCACACGCGATTTACATTTATCTTATGTTTCGTGTCGCTACACAACAATGTAGTATCTTCAAACGAATGCTTTCATGGTATTCCACAGCCTATTTTTTCTTTTTTCATTTTCTTTGACGAGTGGTTCTCCGATGAAGTACATTTGCGGCTACCTAAATTCGTGCACCTAAACGTAATGATCGTTCAACGGTAACAATCAGTCATCCTCTAATCAGTTCCAAAGATCATTTTAAAACCACGTATACAATTCTTAGTCATGTTATCGAAAGTAAACGTTTCGAGCGTTTAACGTGATCTCATTTCGACAACTCGTTAAAAGTAATTAAGTCTTCGTCATTTGGTATTATTTCGTTGCTTTAAATATATATTAAACACAATGCAGAAATTGCTTCTCTTTATATTCGTTGCCAATTCAAATATATTAATATCGCTTCGACGATAACAAGTAAAATTTCGTAATAAGGTATGTCGTATTCGGTAAAGTTCTAACGCGTGGTTACCGGTAATTGGTACCACGAGTCTACACACGATCGAAAGGAAAATTCACTCAAAATCTATTAAATCATTGTCGTAGCTTCCTTATTCAGAATGAGTCACTAATAGTAAACCGGTCAACTTGTGTACTGGCTTCGAGACTTTCCGAAGTTTAAGATTTGGAAATTTGAAAGTTAAAAAATGTGTAATTTCTAATGTATCCTAGGTTCGCGCTACGTGGGTCCCTGTCTAGTTACGCCAATGAATAGAACGAGAGTTTCGCGTTAACGTGGAACATTCTAATTAAAAGCGCGTCGCCCTAGCGCACACGCGAACGCATAAATTAAAAAGAAATCAGTAATCGGTTCGTGTGAAGCGTGCGCAACATTGTAACACCATCATCGAGATTATAACTATATAAAACTTGGAGTATTCGAATTTTCATTTCCGCTAATCTATCGATCGTGAAACGTACGCTCTGACGACCTCACGAAATCGGTGGTTTAATAAAATTTGAAGTTTTCTTTTTATTCGGTCGACATCGGTCAAAGGTGTCAGCGATCGAGAATCTAATATTTCTAAGTTCACGTATGGTAATTGCAGTTCTGTGCGTCTGTCGCGTTCCCGTTTTCTAGGGATGATAAAATTTTATCTCTTTGAAGTCGCTGTGAAACGATCCAAAAATAACGGCACCGCTACACGCGTTGTTAGCTTAGCTTTCTTGGCCGCCTCGACGATGTACAACGTACCACCGAATGTAGTAGTGGGGGTTGCGAAAGAAGGATGGTAAGAGTAGGGGAACATGTGAAAAGAAAGAAAACCGGGAACTCTCCCGCGGTTTCAATCTACTGTACTATCACGTACGTGCAAGTTTCATGAATCAGAACGCTAGCGATTATTTCTTATAGAAAAAGATTTTGATGTCACTAAGCTTCGACAGTGTTTAGTGGATGTTCAGTCTCTTGTACCATCAGATACTTCCTGTAAATCTTCAGGGTACTCTAGATACCTATTGCAGCTTAGGCTTCTCTTAGTTAGGAGGACGTGCAGGAAAGGAGTGTCTCATTTATCTATGTTCGTTGTAAGCAAGGATAGGCTCTTCCCAGGACTCCGAGTTCTTTCAAAACTAAGGCAAGAGTTGAGAGGTTCTACTCTTATCCTTGGTCAAAGAAAGCTTATGTTGCAGCTGAGTGTACACTTCGAGGAATAAATGTAGAGAAGCCATCCCACCATTTGCCTTCAATTTTGGCAAACTGAAAACCTAAGTTCTCACAAACCTACGCTTACTCTGAACCGAAAGAAGCTATTACATCACAATGAAACGTACACTAAATACTAATCTAGCTTAGGCGAAATTGTACGATTCTTTAGAATAATAATTTTGTCAACTATTCGGTTGGACAGATAGAACTTTCTTTTTCGCAGTTATTTGCAAATACGTTTGAAATGCGACATTTGAGAACCACTTCCCGTTGAAAACGCTGACAGTATCCCGCGAGGGGTTGATCAGTATTATTTAATTCGTTGAATTCGTTCTAGAACCTACAGTAAATTCAGTACAAATTTATGGTTTTATTTAAAGGGCAGAAAAATATGATCTTGAAACGTTGTTAATTAACAGCAGCGAATTGACTTAAAAAATAATTCATACAGATGTGTACCGTTCGAACCGGATGAGACTAATTATACGATGTTCTCGTTACCGTCTCGATACGATGTTTCTTATCTCGTTCGTTAATGTTCCGCCGTGTAGGATAATCACAATTAAAGAAACATTTCTACGCGCGCTAATTGTTTTCATTTTTTAGCGATAGAAATAAAATACAGTGAGATCGGTAAAGATAATATCGACATGTTATTCTTGAAAGCGAGAAAAATTTACAGATCACCTGTTCCAGTTTGAGCTTCGAATACAATAATTGAACGTAGTCAAAGTATCGCAATTCCACACAGAACTTGTACTATCTCTAGTAAGCTTATTTAAATATTCGACGTTTTTCCATCGGAATGAAAATGATTTTATTTCTCCATCGCACGACACGCGGAGTAAAATGAAAATCGTTTCAAGGTAATTTCTTAGATCGTTTGCAATGTACGATGACAGATTGCACCGTCATTATCGTACCTTCGCGATCGTGATTATCATGATTAGAATATTCCTCTGTTTAACGCCTATAGGTAGAGATTTCTCTGCGCGCCATCTTGACGTATCATCAAGTCTTTCAAGTATAATTTGCACATTTCTCTTTTTCTCGCAATTGACCTGTTTCTTTGCAAAACGATCAGAGATCTTCTTAAAGAAAAACGGATTTCCAAAATATCGTAGGAAGACGCGATAAATGGAACTGATAACGAACAGATAAAAACGTTTCGGAAGAAGATCAGATCTGGCTTTAGTATATCGGTTATGAATGTATATTGAAGTTTGGTATAAAAAAAATAAGTTCAGAGATATCACTTATTGATTTCTTTTTTTAAAACGATCGTTGTTCCAATCAATCAGGTTACGATAATTAAGTACGTGTTCTCGTATATTAATTTCTTTTCTTTTGCTCTTTGATCGAATGGTTTTTTAATCGTGTATATTTGCATTCGTCGGACAGTCTGCACTGTATTGAACAGGGAAGAGTTTATAAAGAGCGACAGATGTCGGAAAGGGTAACGTTTGCCCGAATGTCCGGCTACTTTGATCTTTCGAAATCGAAAGTGAACAAGAAAATAACGAAGTTTACCTAAACGGTACGACAAACGACGCATCAATTGTCGTCGGACATTTGATCAACGGATAAAATCGTCGGACAAAAACGCGTTCGTCGATTCAGTCTTTTCATAGAAAAATTGTGATCACACGCCTGCAAACTGGGTCACACGTCGTTCGCATATACTTATTTACAGGAGAATATAGACGCGAGAGTCGAGGATTGATTTCGTTAAAATCACATTTTTAATTTCCGAACAAATTGACAATTTGGACACAATTATTATTCCCGCATCACTCGTGTCCGTTTCTTCTCTTTCGAATTTCATTTTGCACAGTTCATCGCTCATTGAAACAATTCGCGGCAGATTTGGCAGTTGACACTACGACGTCTCGCGTTGCATTCCAGCGATAATTTTTCTTAAAATCATCTCGTCATTATCATCGATGTTAGTGACGATAATGATAACGATAAAAAGTTTGAAGCCTAAGAGCGGACAGTTTGCAAGGTAATTAACTCGACCACGGGCAAAGTCCTTGGAAACTGTCCGCGACTTTTTTTTTGCTTTTTCCTTCAATTTTATTCTCCTCGAATCGATACACGCACGCACACAGGATCGATCGACAGATTCCGTCGATGCCGGTTGAGAAACATTTTGTTATATCTGTTGGTTGCTCGTAGGCGTTCTTCTTTCTCTCATCGTTCCCGCAGGTTATCGAGCATTTGTTGAGCAAATGAAAAAAGAAACGAAGGAAAGGAACATGGAGTCCCACGAGAGATAAAGGTACCACCTGGCGAATGTATATTCCCACTTACCGGCGTTAGAGGCACTTCTATGTTATATTTTTGTTTTTGCTCGCGTAATGATCCAGTGGCAGTACAATTCTCGGTCTTAACTGTAATCCTGCTGTGTGTATATAAAGAGGGAAAGAGAGAGAGAGAGAAAGTGGAAAAAAGGGAGAGAGAGAAAGAGGCGGTGATTAGTACCCTTTCGACGCTGTCGTTTACAGCCTTGTCTAAAGTTTGGTTTCACGCGGTAGTTCGGGTAAACTGTTACTAGGTACAAGAAGACCAAGACTCTCAGGACTTTCTTTAGGCTCTTTGGCTAACGCTTCGGCGCTGAAGCCTCTGTAAACTGGCTTATCGTGATCCGCGTCTTTGTACACGGATGAAGAACTTCCATCCTCTTCGATACTGTGCAGAATGATCGCGTTCGGCGGAATGATTTCGCTCGGTGACAACGGATCCAATCGAATCGGCGAACACATCTCCTCGATATAATTTATATGAATCCCTTCCATCGCGTTACCGCCGTGTGGACTAACCGAGGAAAGCTCCGTGGGCGTATAATACTCGCTGTTCACATCCTCCATACTCGCACCGGTCACCAGATCGTTGATCTTCGCCTTGAAGTAGATGCCGCCACCGTCCTCCTGTGGATTGAACACCATCGAGTCGCTCTTCCCGCAGGAACCGCTTCGACAATTGTCGAAGTACAGGTTCGGTAGGTTCTCCAACACTTTGTTCAGCGTTTGCTGTTGATACTTGTAACTCTCGCGTAGTCTCAGAACCTGATGAGCGCTGAACTTTCTTATCTTGTTACGCTGGAAGACATAGTTTTCTCGGACCCAGTTCAGTTGACCGGTCGAGTAGTCCCTTACTTTTCTCACCTGTTCGCAAACCAGAGAGAATAACACGGTGAATATTGCGATTGTTCGTTGCGAACGTTTCCGATTGCTCGGTCAAGTTGGTCACATCGACTGGCAAATTCTATAAAAATCGATAAACGAGAAACCCGATCGATTACCTGATCATAATATTGATCTCTGAGCGCCGTGAGGTGAGTCGTTCCGTAATCCCTTATGTCTCTGATGTGTCTCATTTGGCCCTCGTAACTGTCTCGGATCCATTCCACTTGCTGAGCGCAGTTTTCTTTTATCCTGTGCACTTGTTGAGTGTAATTCTCGCGTAGTCTTTCGAGTTGCTGGCTCTTGTATTGCTCGATATTATCCAACATCTGATAGATTTGTTTCCCTCTGGGCGTAGAACCGACTCGCCTGCAGCAGAAGCACCACCTCAGACAGCCGCATCTGGAATCAAGCGAAACGAACAATTTATACAAACGATTCATAAAGCAGTGTAGGACCGTTTTGTGAAACGAAACGAGTCGAATGGAAGTGGAGAAAGGAAACAGCGACAGATAATTAAGATTTGTGCGATATAAGATATACTCACTTGAGGAGAAGATAATAGAGCAACTGCAAAAGGAGCGTTAACAGAAGAAAGGCCGTGGCACAGGCAGCGCCTACCAGGATGCTGATGATCCTGATTCTGTTTAATGTTATCGGATTCATCTGCAAACTAATATAGGTAGTGGCATTGGCGATCGGATTGACTGCGAAACACTTGTATTGTCCAACATCCTGCCTGAGCAACGTCGTGATGTACAAAGATCCATTCTCGAGGATGCGTACGCGACCATCGTCAACGAACGGTACACTTTGTTCCCATCCGTGTACGGGAGGATGTTCGACAAAAGCGTCGGGAAAAGCTGGATCAGGATTCCAGTGCAGTACCTTGAGTGCCGGCGTGACCCATGTTAAGGATGGCGTAGGATTGCCGTTGAACTCGCAGTCGAGGAGCACTGAGCTCAACAAGAGATACTGTTGCGTGGGCGTCGCGTACGTCAAATATGGGGGTGTGCATTTCAAATAGCGAAGAGTTTGAAGGATATCGGCAGTGGCGTCGATCTCGTCGCCACACTTAAAGCCGCTTTGGAAGGCGGTACGAAGGTGCTCCTTGCTCTCGGCCCATTTCACGAACCAGAACATGCGACAGTCGCAAGCCCACGGGTTCCCTTGCAGCTGCAGCTCGTTCAGTAACGACAGCTGCGCTACATTCGCCGGAAGGAAGGTCAGATTGCTGTCCCGTAAATCGATTTTTCGAAGTGCCGGTGTACGATCGAGGGTACGCCTCGATATCTCGCGCAACGGGCTCTTGTTCACTTCCAGGGTCTCCAATTTGTCTAGCCCTTTCAAATCCTCGTTACGAAGAATTTCCAACTTCGTTCCGGAGAGCAACAAGGTGCGTAGTTGCTTCACCGGTCTCCATATGTCCTGCGGAAGCGTCGTGACCGGTAGATTCTTCAGACTGAGCCATCTCAAGTTCGATAGGCTTTGGAAGGTCGCGCTGCTCAGCCGACCGACAGGATTCCCGGAAAGATCGAGGCGCTGCAAGGACGATAGATCGGCGAACAGACCACGAGGTATCGCGTCGATCTCGTTGTCGGCCAACCCCAAGAACTTCAACCGACTTAAACCGGAGAATAAACGGGGCGGAAGTTTGGTGAGCCTGTTGGCGGATAATTCGAGTTGTTCGAGCTGTGCGTTGGGCCTGAAACTGTGATCCGGCAGGGAAACCAGCAGGTTGCCGGAAAGGTTCAAACGAACGAGTGCCTTGGACGAGGCAAACGTCTGATAGGGAAGTACCGACAGTCTGTTTCGCGACAGTCCGATCTCCTCGAGGTGATCTAAGCCTTGAAAAAGCGCCCGCGGGAGCACGTTCAACTGGTTGCCGGTAAGATTCAGGTACTGTAGTTGGTGCAATGGATGGAAGACATCCGACGGCAATTCCGTCAGTCTATTGTCACCTAAGTCGAGGTGCTCGAGGAACGCGGTCGCGAGAAACACGCCGGATTCGAGCCGCTCGATCCCACTCGACGTCCAAACGAGACTCTTCAGACGAGTCGAAGTTTCGAGAGCAGCGACGGGTATGGTAGCTGCTCCGACGTCTCTCAGCACAACGTTCGTTGCTTGCTTTGGCAAGCCGAGTCCCAAAAAACTTCGTTCCCGACAGTACAAACTCTTTCCGTCGTCCAGACACTCGCAACCCGTGGCACATTCTGAACTCGAGGCTGTTCTTTTGGTGAACGACGTTGACTCCGACGACGGGAGACGGTGATCTTGTCTCGTATCCGTAACACGTACCGCAATGAGGAGAACGATTAACCACCACCACGAGTCCCACACCGAAATCCGCTTCCTCATTCCTATGACCTGTAATATGACGATATCCACGCATACAACCAAGAATTCCCATGTCCTGATGTAGCTTCACGATATCCGTAACGACTGATTCTCTTCTCTTCAGCGATTCGATCAGGAAAAATCGCGCGAACGCGTTTCTCTTATCTTGTCAGTTTCCGCTTCGTAAGAGCATCACACGCGCGTGGGTGACAAAATAAATGTAATATTCTATAGCGGATTCGAATTTGTTCGAGGTGTCTCGTTTGCGTTTGATCGTACCTACCGAAAAAGGATCACGGACAGTGCCGCGAAGCACGCCAGCGGGCTGGATAAGTGGCGGCGCGGCGGGCTTAACCGTTCGCAAACAATTCGACCCGGTGTCTTATGGATGTACCGAAGAAGCTGTCGAGTTTGTCGGCGACGGTGGTGGTGGCGGCGGCAG